ATAAGTAATCTTTTCTTTCCTTAGATAAGTTTCAAATGCCCGAGTATCATTTATTTTGAAAATATAAGGTGCAATTTTTCACCTTGTTCTTTCTTCAAAATACTTTTGATAGTACTATAATTCTTAGGTTCCATGGTAGATCTAATGTAAATTAACTTCATATTAACTATTTTTATATAGGGTAATTCTATATATCACCTAATATTAAGAGGATAACAAATGGGAGATTTTAATAATCACGTTACTAAATTTTGGTCCTTGAAATCTTTGATAATATGAATGTTCACTTTGTCTGGTTTTGTTGCAGCATGCTCCAATTATTCTTTTTATTCTAATTTTTCTGTTGATTCTTATAGAAATAATTTAATGGAAATAGAAGTGTTCATTTGTTAGAAGATTATGAAGTCTATAGAATAATTAATTAATTTAATTTAGGATATATTCTATGGGACATATAAATCATGTTTTACTTATAACAAGGTTTATATATATTTACATCATTTATTATAACTTATCATTTTAAAACAAGTATTACAAAATTTTTAGTCTTATTTCATTTGCTATTAGATTCAACAAAACAAAATGTCTATATTATTTCTGGCTCTATTATTATTACTGGGTTATTATTACTTCCATAATTATCATATCTACTACTATCATCATTACTGATACAACTATTGTTATTAACTCAATTCAAAAAAATAATTATAATCACAAATAAACTAAATACCTTTTGTTGTTGTAAATAGGTTTTTTTTTCTTTCATCAAAAAATCCTGAAGTGTGCTAAAATATTGAATCAGTGAATACCTACATAGAAAGGATAATATCTACTTGATAACAGATCAAAACTAATATTGGATGTGAACTCTAACTGACTTTTCCTTTCTTTTATGATTCCTATTGCACAAAGATGTGTCATAGCAACCAATTCTTCTTCAGTGATTTCAGAAAATTGCAGGGTTCCAGCTTGCAAGAAGCACCCCAAAAGTTTTTTTGCATCATTGATTAAATTGTTATTTGAATCTTGATTTTCATGTGTAATATGATTGACTGCTGATATTTTTTCTGTGTATGATTATGAATGAATTCTGTGAAATGATTGTTCCATGTGTCAAAGAAGAATGTATGTAGATGTGATTTTCTTTATTTTCATTTGTGATGTTAGCCGGTTAATAATCTGCATGCATAAATTCTAGATTTGGTAACGGATTTACGTGTTACCTTCTGGTTATAGAAACAAGATACCAATTTAGGTAGTAAACGGTTTAGCCGGCTAAGGATTTTTTTAAACGGCTAACATCCTAATTTTCTAGGTAATGTAAAGTCGATGACTTTCTTGACTCACAAAGGGTGCATATGCATGTGATTCTATAGCTCCTACAAGTTCATGATAGGAATGAAGTATCTCAAACGGGACAATAAAATTTTCCGTATAATTCATTGGACCTTCAGTTTTTCACAATTCTCCGTTTTTTCATGCATTGTTGACCAGAGTCAAAGGGCGACCGTTTAAAATCTTTGAAATAAACAATAACATTTGATAATATGAAGAGAAAAAAAAGCACAAGTCAGTTAATGTTATAAACAATATGCCAAATAAATAAACAAACAAAATGGAATGAATGGAAAATAATTTTTCGCATATTTTTTTTAGCAATTTGTAATTTGTTCATTGCCTTTTTTCTTCATTAAATTTAGTTAATTACTTTTGTAAGAATATCACTTGCTCTTCCCATTTCTTCTTCGACTCTTCCAACAATTACTTTCCTTTCAACAGTCTATCTCTCCATTCTCCCACCTCTCCCTCTTGTCTTCACTCAAGTTCCCCTCCATCAACACTTCCTATAACTTATCCAAATTTTTCCCTTTACATTTCCCCTTCTCACACTCCTCTAAGTTCTCCACTGCCTTCTCATAATCTATTCTTGCTTTATTTAATTCTTGTTGAATTGTTTCAGTCGTTGTCATTTTTAAGATTTGAAAATTAAAATAATTTTTAAAAAAATTTTGTGCAAATGATAAATTAGTGGGAATTTATTAATACGGAAAGATAAGAAAATTATTTTATAATTTATAAAAATACAAGTTAAAAATTGCCAGAGCAGGAAAAATACTCGGACCCAAAGCATTTGTTAGTATTACCTATTCTTTGGGAACTGACAAAAATTCGACTTTTACTATTGTTATTATTAACCCAAGTCCATGGGTCATTATTGAAGACATATGATCTTTTACCAACTCCTGTACCAAGGTTGGGTGACGAAATCAACGACACAATAAAATAAACCAATTATTTTGTAGATTTTAAATTATGAAAAATTAAAATTCATTGATGCCAAATTCTAATTCACCATATAATATATGAATTTGCAACATTAAAATATCTGAAAGTTCGTTTAACAATTGGCTACAGGATGTCCTGTGTATGATGTATAGTTACACTTCATTAAATAGTAAATGAAGAACCATTTCAACAATCGGAATTATCGGATGATTCTACAGATTTTGAAAAAAGTTATGAAACTAGCAATTGATGTGAAGCAGCAATTCCTACTAAACTTTACGTACAAAAATTAAATATTCAACCAAGAAACATGATTTACGATGTAGAAAAAATGTTTAAAATTAAATTTTTGTTTTAATTAAATCTAAATAAAATTGAATTTTATACTTTTGTCATCTTCATAATTTTGACACTTGACTTTACCCTTTCGTCACGTTTCGTCACATGTGCCCATTTGACGAAATACCTTTTGCACCCCAAAATATTTTCGTCACCCAACCTTGTCCTGTACCTCAGGGACCTCTCTTTCACTTTGGTGTAATGGGCAGAATGCAATGTAGAATGAGGTGTGTACTTAGGTATGAAGTTTTACGATAAAATCTTCATTCCTATTCATATATGTTAAAATAAATTGACTGCTGCTATAAAAAACAATGACTGAATTTGACGCCCGTGACGTGTATGACGTTCGGGACTAATATTATGCATTCTCATATATTTTATTCTTCAAGGATGAACTTTTTTATTTATCATCATATATACATATACATACATACATATATATAAATCAGTTTTTATTATATATTACATATTATATATGTCATAAATGAAATAAAAGAGAATAAAAAATTTACAAAATAATAATTCGCATATATGCAAATATTTGATTAAAAGACAATAAATTACATTATTTATTAAAATTATTATTAATATTACTAATTGCTGCTATTATTATTATTATTGCTATTACTATTATTAATTGTTTTATTAAAATACTATTAATGTTAATAATTAATAATGTACTTTTTGGTAACCATTGTTCATTAAATAAAATTAAAAAATTAAAAAATTGAAAATAATTCAAAGTATGGTTCAAGTTGAAGAAAATTGTTCAAATAAATCAATCAATGTGGTATATATATATAAATTATCGACTTATAACGCAATCATCAATTCCTATTTTCTCTCTGATTAGTACTATTCTCGTTATTGCGACCAATATCATCATTTCGATTATTATTACTGCCACCAATATTACTATTACCACCACTGTTATGATTACCTTTCTTAATCTTACTATTCCCACCTCCCATCATTCTTTTTTTCAACCATACAAACATTGAAGATTGTAAATGATGATGACGATCCATGTGTTCATTTTTTGTTCCTTTCATACTTGCATTAGTAGCAGTAGTAGCACTAGAAGAATTTGTTCCAAATTTCATTGCTATAACGCCACCTTCTGTTTCAATATTTGTTGAACCAATTGAATTAATTGATGGTGCTACAGATTCTGTTTCCTCCTCTTCATTCATAGCTTGTCTATTATATGATCTGTTATAAGCTATACCTTTAATTTTTCGTGAACTTTCTCTTTTACGAATATGATCATATGGGAAAAGTGAGACGGCTCCTGAATCATTATTGTAGTTGTAATAGTTGGTAGAAGTATTTGTGTCGGTAGAAGTAGCTGATACACTTGATCTTATTGTTGATAAATGTTGTTCGTTGTTGTTAATCGACGAATGTGTAGATGATGCTGATGATAAAATTTTTTGTTGATGAGAATTTTTACGATTTTTTAATGAGATTGAACGAGGAAGTTTAATTGAATCATTGCCATTTGGTGGATGTGAAACAAAAGAAACTGGTCTTTTCTTTTGAGAAGGCAATTGTTGCTGTTGTTGTCTATAATTACTATTAGGTATTATTGGAGTTGAGGAAATAGAAGTCGAAGAAGTTTTCCTTGAAGCGTTTTTTAATGATGATGACGATGAAGATGATGGTTGTTGTTTATAATAATAATTATATATAGACATTGGTGGTGACGTTGTTAATGGTGATGATGACGGCGGTGAATACTTGTCTCCTCCTTGTTCAATCACTTGATCCAATGATAATTCAAATGGAGTCGATAAAGGTCTTTTAGGTTTTACTGTTTCTTGTTCTGATATTGTCGATAAATGAGATGTGATTGGCGATGATAAAGCACGTTTACGTCTTTTTATTTGTCTGTGGAATATTTGAACTACTATTTACAATTATAACTAACTTGTCATCTGTTTGATTCTTCATTTATCTTTTTTATATCATTTATTTCTTCACATTTATCCACCATAAATATACAATCTTTATCCATCTCCCAAATTTTTAATCAACATTGTTTTCCTGTTTGTCCTGAATTCATACATTAAATGATCAGGTAAGAATAATTTTTATGACAAATATTTATACTTGGGAAACAAGAACTGACACATGATTCTACATTTCCCTGCTTCCACAACATTACCAGAAGATTATGTCTTTCAATATTGCAGTGATTCATTTTTTTCACATATTCCAACAATTGTTGAAAACAACAACTGGCTTGAATTTGCCTACCCTATTCCCTTGACACAACATCAAAAGCTTTACATTCGTTCCAGCTACAAAGTCATTGCTAAGAATGCTTTATTAAAGGCTAACCCAAATCATTGCAAGTATTCCATTATCAGCGGAACCCCTGGAATTGGAAAATTTATGTTTCTCTTTTATATCCTTTGGCAATTGGTGAAGGAAGGAAAGTATGTGTTATTTGTTACCAGAGAACCTGCTATATACTTTGATGGAAATTCAACATTTGAATATCCTCAATATCCTTTGTCTTCAGATCATCAATTCTGGACATTTGACTTATGGTGCCTTGTTGATTCAAAAGATCCAACTAACATTCCTGGATTTCCTGTTGACGCCTGTTCTGTCATTTTGTCAACTACCCCTCGAAGTGATTTTATTAGTAGATTCAGCAAGTTGGTTCCAGCTCCTCCTATCTTTTATATGCCTTTATGGACTAGGGAATAATTGGAAGTTGTTACACCCTTTACTCAAATGTAGCTAATATTTGGATGAATCACTTTGAACTTTAGGTGGTGTTCCTCGTCTTGTGCTGGAACAAACTGAACAAGATCCAACATCAATTCTGATTTCAGCTTGTAAACAATGTGAACTGGAGGACTGTATCAAGTTGGTTTCAATTCATTCTGAAATCACACCCAAAGCAAAGATTATTCAAACACTTGTTCATCTTAAGTCAAGCCCACCTTATAAAGATGCCACAGTGATATATGCCTCAGAAACTGCAATGAAGACTATTGCTCATACTAAATGGACTTATGAAAGTCTAAAGATGCAGTCTTCTTGGTTCTTGCACTGGAAATCCTCTTGCTGCAGCCCTTTGTGGATACATCTTTGAACCCCATGCCATTGATTTATTGGAACAAGGTGGTACCTTCCAATGTCAAGAACTTGTCTCTGGTAGGAAAAGTCTCAAGTCTGGTTCCTTTGACCTCAAGATTCCAAAATCAAAGACTCCCTCCACAAGTTGTTGATTGTGTTGAAGAAAACCAAACTCACAATCAATTGTACATTCTAATGATGCCGTCTGTAAATCAGATTTACAGAAGTTGTATCTAGCAACCGAGTTGTCATACTATTTGCAACCAAGTGCCAAAATCTGTAATTCTCTGTAATATGTAAATGTATCTGTAATTCTGTAATTCTGTAATTCTGTAATTCTGTAATTCTGTAATTCTGCAAATCTTATATATATATAATAATAAATAAACTTTTGTGTAACAATTTTTTTTATAATGAACAAGAGACCAAGAAAAGAACCAAGCAATTCTATTAATCGTGGCAGACAATTTACAGGTGTATGGAGGCAATTTATTCAAGGTCAAGAAAAAGGAAATGGTATATATGAAGGCAAGTGTATAAGTTGTCATAAAAAATGGGCATTTGCAAAACCTGGAATCTTATGTTCTCATTTAGCAAATGAATGCAATGAATGTGGAGAAGATGTTAAACGATATTACAATTGGATCATTACAAATAATATTCATGATAACTCTTCTGGTAATTTGTATGAAATTCCTGATGATTGGATGAGGTCTACATCAAATAATAGAAAAATTAGTAATAATGAACAATCTAAAGTTGATTCTTATTATGGTTCCACATCAATTGAACCTTCACGTCAAAAACAAATTGATATAGCTTTATCTGTAGCATTTATTTGTTGTGGGCTTCCATTTAATATTGTAGAGAATCCTTTTTTTGTTAACTTATTAAAAGCATTAAATCCTGGTTATAATTCTCCTTCTCGTGAAGTATTGTCAGGTAGATTTTTGGATAATCAAGTTGCATTTGTAAATCAAAAGATTGATAACATATTACAAAATACAACCAATATTACTCTTGGGACAGATGGATGGACAAATCCAAATGGCTCGAATTTATGGAATTTCATGGTAATGACACCTGAGAGAAAAGAATTTTTATATTGCATTTCTGATTTTTCTTCTGCCT